TGTAGTTATCATTAAGGTTATCACATTGCTTTGTGCATAAAATACACCTACATGAGATAATTATATGGTGTGTGATTATCTCTCTTATTTTTTTTTTTTTTGAAGTAACAGGTTGTAATGGAGCCAAGATAAAGTTTTCATAGCATAAGAACAAAGTCTGCTTCAAATGGAAAATGATGTATTGGTTCTATTGATGCCATCAGATTGAGCAGATGAAACCACAGCCCACAATGTCTGAGAAACAGCTGTTTTCATGACAGTTACTACAAAAGCATTGAATCCCAATTTTGGTTTAAAGGAAAAACATTTGTAATTGATTAAATCAAAGGTGACACTCACCTGGTCTACAATCATTCAAATACTACGGTGTATATCCCCATGTTTCAACTGTAGTCGTGGGCAGGTTTTAATGATAATAGTATATTGTAATACATAAAGTCTTAGAGGCATCTTTCTTGATTTCAAAAAGCCTTGTGCACAGTTCATATTGATTTCTTTAGAAGCTGAGTAATGTAGCCTTTGGCAATTATTCAACTTGCAAAGTATCTACTGTGAAAACGCAGACGAATATGATGTCAGTGTTGAAGCTGCTTTTTATTTCAGTTATGAAACTGTAAATTGAATAATTAAGTTAGTAGCGAGAATAATCCTTTTTAATTTACAGGGATTACAGCTGTTTAAATAGGGAAAGAAAATCTTTTTTTCCAGCCAACTGTTTCCATTGTGTGGCACAACTTTCATCATGACCGTGACAGTTACAATGAAATATTTTAATTGTCTGAGTGCAACCAGACGTTTAAGCCTTATTTTGGTTTATGTGGATATACTTTTCTGTAACATGATTAACAACAGCTCATTTTCTCTTTGCTGATGTAATTTTTTTCTTTCATACACTTTGGCTTTACTTGCTTAATATGCAAGCTTGATTTAGAAGAGGATGTGCAGTGCAGCCAATATTATAATATTATATATCATTTTTCACTCTGCATAATGTTCCTACAATACATCAAAATTTTACATTAACACCTGCCTCCTTGGATGCTTCTATCCCTGGCATTACACAAGCTATGGATCAGTTTTAAGATGGCACTGCTCTAATGGTGCACTTTAAACGACATCCGACACATTCCACACTAATGCTTCATTGCATTTTTTCACACTGTGTAGTTCTGACTTGCTGCACATCGCATCACATCACATAAAAGCACCTGGTATTCGAGGCCATTTGGTCCATAGAATATTAATGAACAGTAAATTAATTTAAGTTATAAAGTTTGGATGCCATTGTGTGGTATATACTATAAAGTTATTCCCTTTGTGTATAAGGCAAATTCCACTGCCATCGTGTGCAATACCAGGAGCGGGCTAAAACGCACACACACACACAGGCCCCCGCCCCCACTAATTGGCTCAGAGCGACAAACAGTGAGAAGCAGCTGGTAAGTGACTTTGTTGAAGAATCACTTTAACTGATGAACACTTATCAGTTATTCAAGGCCTGATCAGAAGTTTACTTAGTGTTTGTTTGATTCGCTCCAGAGTTTTTGAGACTGCATTTAAACATCATGAACAACATTTTGTGCTCAGTACAACATGAGACGTGACGCTCACAGTCTCAGTGTTAAAGTGACCGGAGCGACACGCAGACATGATCCGACACCATCGGTTAATAACTAAACACATGGCCGTAAATTTGTCACAAAATCCTCCCAATAAAAAAATTGAACAAATGAACGTGAACTAGTTCATGTGTGAAATTCATTTTTCCGTGAGCAACTCCCTGTGGCGTTTAAGCAACCTCTTGCTAGCAATCTAGACCAGGCCAAAGCAGTTAGGAATAGAATGCTGCTCAGGGCTGCAATTTTCTGTCTGAACCTGACTGAGCCAGAGAGAAAACTAACCAAGATGAACGCCAACCCAAATATCAATTAGACTTTTTTCTCTGATCCCGGCCCGGGTATCTACGCTCTAAGAACCAATGCCATATGCCACATTTATGGCAGTGGATAAGTAGCCATACAATATTGTGAGAACCTGGAAAGTAATACATTTTTTGATTTGCTTTGTTAAATGTACTTTATTAGTAACTTGCAGCCAGTTGTAGCTGTATTACAGTCTTGAAGTGATCTGGAGGGGGTGGCTCCACCCCTAGTACACACAATGACCCAATAAATAAATGCCTGCACAAAGAGACTGGACACACACCCACAATTTATGTGAGGACATGCCACTATGAAAACATACAGGCACACTCACACGATCATAATCTAAGCCCATCCTGCAACTCTCCCGTTGCTGAATGACACACTGGGGACGTTAACATTCACTGTGAGAGCTGACACTGTTTGATGAGTCAAGTCCTTTGCAGGCTGCGTTCAGAGGTCCTAAATATGCATCCCTCAGGTATTGTTAGACACAGAATGAATGCAGGTGCTCGAGGGAAGGCATGATAAAAAGCTCACCCAAAAAGTCTGCTTTTACAGCGGTTGGGGACGCGATTCTCCCAAATCTAGTGGAACTATAATCAGCTCCATTACTGATGTGCTTTAATTAATTCACTTAACTTGAGGTCAAAATGAATGAATGATTAATACGTTTGATGGACCAAACTAGAGCTCCATGTTGCATCACCAGTGGCATTCAGCTGTAGTGTCGTTCTTCCACAGACGACTTGTTAAAGTTTTATGTTTTGGGCTTGAAAGCAGAGCAGAATAGCGGTAGCTGTTTAAAAAAATATTTATTTATTATTTTTTCATTTTAAAATCAGCATGGGTCTTTTAACTTTTATTTCACCCAATGAGCACTGTCATTGTTTTTCAATACGCTGCAGAATGTATTATATTTCTTGACGGTTATTTCAAAGCACTCGTTGAGGATGAAGCATTAGCCACTGAGAATTGACTCTCAAAGAGATTTTGTGCTCGGACAGTCGCTTCAGATGTGATGTAACGTTATTGCAACACAGGTTGCTGGAGGAATTTTCATAAGGGTTTCAAAGCAAACCCACATGCAGTCCACAGCTGATATTTGCAGCACAGCATTCACACTTGTCCAGTTACTAAGACTAAGCTTAATTTAGAATTCGGTGAAGAAGCAATTCTATTGATAACTTCAGTGTAGAATAGAATCAATAGAGATTACAAATATTTCACCACCGCAAAATTGTGTCGCAGATTTTTGCAAATAGTGCTGCACTATTCCTACTTCAGGGAATATACTTTTCATTTGGAGATGATGTCTGTGCTTCCTCCAACTGATTATTTTCATACAAAATTGCACTAAATCTTTTAAGCCTTAAATTAAGACATACACATAGACCCACACTTTTTTTGTTTTGCAACAATTACCACATGTTTTAAACAAATCCTAATAACTTTAATCTACCTCCATGTAAGGGGAACCTAGTTAAATGATGAATGTGTAACAGAATGGTTTATTTTCCCCTTGGCTAACCCTGAACGAAATGCCCTGACTATTGAATCAGGCAGACGCGTCAAAACACAGCATTAAAATTCAAAGGCAAGGGCACAGGTTGGCAATTAGTAAGCTGACTGACTCCTCCAATGTCCGCGGGTGGCTCTTCTTGCTTTTGTTTTCGCTCTCTCGTTTTTATGATATGAGCGCTCTCCCTTCAGACCGGGAATGTGGGGAGTTTGGCAGTGCGAGTCTCAGAATGGCAGAGATGGTGTGGGCGGATGGCAGCCTCTGAATATAAATGAGAGCACACACAAACGTGCAGTCTAATCTGTCACACGTGTTATGAGCTGGTTCCTGTTATCCTCCCTTCAGAAGTCACACCAGCGTGAGCGTCACATAAACACACAAACCGTTACCTTAATCTAAACCTAAACCTGCCAGAGCCTCAGTTACCAAATCCTTAAACAAACCCAAAATAATGATTTTAACTGGGTTTTTTTTTAACACCGATGGTCCCTGTGGGCTCAACCTTAACCTTAACCTAATTCTAAGTCTTCACATTGAAATAAATTGATTTACTTTATGTGGACTTGCTTTTTGTAAGTCCTGTAAAAACAGATTCATGTCCCAACAACATGAGCAACAGCTGGACCGCACACACAAGTCACTTTTGGGAGACCTTAGATAGATTTGCATAGATTTCATCGGGACTTCCAAAACCCTATCCACAACCATTACTTTCCTAACCCTAACCCAACCATAACCTCAGCCACTGGCCAAAGAGCAGCAGGGAGAGAGCCATTCCAAAATAACTGGTGTTAAGTCTGAATTTCTGTTTCCAAAGGTAACCTAGGACAGACACACACATGCATACAAATGTACAGCCACATTCACTCCCACATACAGAGAGCAGCAAAGATGCATCAAGCAAACATTCACGTGATTCCAATGCTCTGAGGAGATCATACACACACAGGTACACATGTCCATAGCAACGCATTGAGAGTTATCTCTTTGTATTCTGACTTCCTATGAGCTTGAACCATAAATGGAGGTGTGCTAATAAATGAGGAGGTACAGCCATCCACAGCTATAGCCACATGTGAGTGTTGTCCTGGCCTCTGTCACCCAGTTGCACTCACTGTGCGAGAGTGTGGCTTCCAGGAGCCACAGTGAGAGCAGCACGTACCTGGTGTTAATTAACGATTAGACACAGGAAGGTGACATGAATGCAGTAACTGCTGTTGGTGCCAAGCTGCTGCAAAAGCAAATAGCAGGCGTTTGGACAAGTTATTTTCCCTTCTTACGCTGTCATCTCTCTCTGCGTATTAGGCAGTCTCCACTTAAAAAGGGTGAGGGTGTCATCATTTGATTCTAGTTTCTCTGCCTCTAATGGAACACATTCACACAGGTTTGGGAACAGGGCAGTCACCAGGAAGCTTTTGGCTGGTGTGCAAGTACGCATGTACACACAACACCTACTCAGCTGAGCTCATATTCAGTCTCATTTACTTGTACTTAACCATGCTCGGCAAGGAGAATTTAATTTTAACACTAATTTAATGTATAAGACAAGTGCTTACCCTGTGATGTGTGGGAGGGTGTCAGTGGAGAAGAGGGCCACTGGCGGTTTGTCCCGCTCTATGAGCCATATGGTGTATTGACCACTTTGTTTGGGGTGGAGGAACATGGCCATGTCCAGGCTACAGGGAACTTGCCCTCCCCACAGCCACGGACTCAGCACCCAGGGACCCCCAAACGCTGAACTGTTCACCCAGAGGAACTGACCTGAAGAAGAGAGAAAAAGAATTGTTGAACACACGAAACAGCACCATAAACAAATGTACAAATCAGGAATTACTTATTGTCTCAGAGACGTATCGATCTTGCGAATATACACAGATCCAGGGTGGGAGGAAATCTTAAAAAGTTATGAGAAAATCTAATCTCATGAACGAGACGTATCCGTACAGTACAGTACAGAGACAAGATGAGTGATTGGCTGAGGTTTCAAATCATTTTGAGGCAATGGTTGAAAGTTGCACTTGATGAAAATGCATGAAATGAAGCTGCTTTGGAAGAGAGCTGTCAGGGACATCTGACAGGAGGGATAGAGGGTAAAAAATCAAAGCACAGTTTTTTCATCACTTTTATATGAAGTCCCATTTCACTGCCAAACCTATTGCACTCGTTCAAGCAAGAAGTTCATCAGAAGCTGACTTGTGTGTGTGTGTGTGTGTGTGTAAACACAATGAAACTCAACTTGAAAGAAGGAAAATCTATTTTTAATGTGTTCAGTTAAGAAAAGTAGCGTTCATTTTTAAAAAATTAAAAGCTAAATGTCTCATAGAATCACTGATTGTCTTCCATTCTTACTGTGATGCTGCTGCTATTCTGTTTGTTAGCATAGGGAACATGAGGAACACTTGATGTTATAGTAACTGGAATAAATTTGGAAAGATTTTTAAATACAGAGTATTGGTTGAATGCTGAGTGTCATTACGGTATAGACTCTAGCATTGTGGGAGCCACCCCCCTGTCAATTGTCAAAGCATTGTAAATTCTTGTTTTACAGCAGACAACATGAAATGCCAGTGGTGTTCTTAGACACAACCCAAGAGATTTATTCAGTGCCATATTCAGGTCAGCTGAAATAACATAAGTGTGAATCTGTTCAGCCAGAGATGTCTGACAGGAAATTTGGCTCAAAGTCATGTTGAAAGATATAAATTTGACAAAACTGAAAGGTCTGTGATGGTTTCTCCACCAGAATGTAAAAATAAGAGGGAGACTTATCCTCATTTTGAAGCGGAAAAAAGGCACTTTACAACTTTACAGTCCGGGAAAAGTTCCTTCTAATGCGTCTAACCACAACTCAGAGGAAGTGTGTCAGTCTGTCTGCACTTTACCGAGGAGTACGAGAGCTTTATTCAACAATCAACACATAGAATACAGGAAGCCACTTACATGGATGATACACCAGTTAAACTGCAAAGACCTCATGTGGATAATCCAGCAAAGCACAAAACAAGATCTGAAGTCATTTGTACTGAATGAAACAGCAAAGCTTCTTTTATGATTTAGTTTTTGTAAGTAAGGCTGTAACTAACAATCCATTTTTCATTCAATCAATCCATCAATTATTTTCTGCTTTGTCTTGTCCTGGTACACAAAAGCATACAGAAAAATGAAACCTGACACATTTTATCTTGAATGAAGGAATCATTTCAAACTTTAACTAACCTCATTTCATCATTCATCAAAAGATTGTAGTCTTACTGCTTAAATCATTTCTGTAAACAGAAACTGTACTACATTTATATTAAATTTAATTTACGCTGCTATATCGTCTGCTTCTTCCGTAAGGGTGACTCTTGTGGCACACACACAAGCATGCACGCATGCACGCACACACACACGAACGCACACAGTACATCTGTGTGCGTTCGTGTGTGTGTGCACAGATGCACACAAAACCCCCTTTGCCTTGACTCTATCTGATATTTTACACTGTTTTGCCAACATCCTTTCAGCATTTTTTAACACGACCACCACACACTGGAGTGGCTAATAGTTAGTGTTAGCTGATTAGCATAGTCTGGAAACATTTTAACCCAACATGAATACTTTTTGCAACTGAATGGCTACTGCATATTCTTGGAGAAGCCCTGTGGGCGGATGGATTTTTTTTCTATGAATGTTGGTTTGTTTCCTTCTCCAGGCTGCACTCTTCCCTCAGCATGATGGTACTATCAGCTTCCTGTAGGTCAGATTGCAGTGAAATGTACTTTCTAACTGGGACACACTTGTCTCCTTGTGTTTGTAAAGTGTTGCACTCAAACAGTCTTTTGCTATTTGTTGTCTATAATGCAATGTTTCTGTACTTGTATTTGTTGCAAAAACTTCTGATGTTCGTCATGTTGAGAATACAACTGAATATGGTACTTATTCCTTATTGAATGTACAGCAATCATTTTCAATATGTATACAGTTTATATAAATATCTCTATGCTCTTTAATCTGGTTGATCTGGGTTCCAACTCTCACTTATGGTTATGTATTCTGAGTAGTGACCGAAAGAAAAAGATCACAAATACAATGACCAAAAAGTGATTTCTCTGTTGGGCTCAGTCTTTGAGATAGGGTGAGGAGTTCAGAAACCCACACGGAGCTGGAAGAAGAACCCCTGCTCTTTCAGGTTAAAATAGGACAGTTGAGGTGGTTCAGGAATGTATACAGGATGCCTGCTAGGCACTCTCTGTTGGAGGTTTATACTGCACTTCCAACAGGAATGAGACCCTGGGGTAGACCCAGAACTTGCTGGAGTAAACTACACCACCTCAGGATCCCCCAGAAGGAGCTGGAAATCCAGCAGAATGTCTGGATTTCTGTACTAATGCTATATCAGCAACCAAGGCCCAGATAAGCGGAAGACAATCGGTGGATGTATATGATCTATGATACAATTAATTATACATACATCAATGTATTTGATTTCATAAAGTCCAATTTCCTGTCAAATGAATGACCAAGAGCGTGCTTCTTAATTGTCTTGTGGGTCTAAAGTGTTTAAAT